GTGTTGCTAACTATCGTTTGTTGTGGGGGAAAAGCTTTAGCTGGGAAAAGCTATGGGGCTAACCTTTAATTGGGGCTAGACTTTGGTTCGTTTCGAAGCTGAGTAAGCCCTGGAAGCTCAGCTAGATGTTGGGGAAACCTATTTTTTATAGAGGATTAGTTCTGGAAAGTTGGGTTTAGCTGACATTTCAACTTATTTTGAAACTCTTTTCGGAAATTGGAACTTATTTATTCGCTTAGTTCAGAAAGGTTATTTGTTGTTGTTTGAACAGTGAATTTATTTAATTACTTGATATCGAAGTAAGACGAACTGGAACTATTTATTAACTATTAAATATTATTATTAATTATTATTATTAATTGTTGTTATTAATTCTTATTCTCAAGTGGATAAAAATAGGGCAGTTTTAAGTTACATATCAATATCATAATACTACTATAGTACTACTCCATATCGCGACAAAGTCTTATTTGTACATACAGTTTGAGTCTGACAAATGGAAATCTCTGACTGTTGATTAGGAATATCTTTTGCTTGAATCCTTAGTGCAATGTTTTCTATTTAATTTTAAGATAGATAAGAATGAAGGCTTTTTCGTGTTTTGTTAGTATTATCTTTGTATTTTTTATTATCTCGATTGAGAGATGAACTCAAAACAGTGTAATAATAATAAACGTGATACATAATTATGTCCTAACGTAATCTCTACATCTATAAATACAACAAAAACAACCAGAGAGTCCTATTCCCTAACCGTTTAACCAAAAATTTTTCTTTGCCAACTAAAAAATGTTAACAAGTATCCACTTAAAAGTTTCCCCTCCCTTGAAAAACACCGGAAAAAAAGGAGCTTAAGTGTGAGTATATACCCAGACAAACCCACAGAAATTAATATAAATTTAACCGTTATGATTATGCGAGACAATCTTCATTAATTAGACACAAGTCGAACATAGAACAAATTAGTTAAGGGTACGCATCGTCGCAGTGCGACCCAAGCGGGGGGTCGGTCTTGGGGTGTCAGCTCCAACCGGGACGACAATGTCATTAACGTCACGTGGCCTTTGCCGTCGGTCGCGTCCCTTTTTGCCCCTTTTTCCCCTCTAAGACCCTGCTCTGGACCCCGTTTTCCCCATTGAGCAAAGGGTGCAGTAATTATATTTACCGTTAATCCTGATTTCCCACAAAAGGGAAGCGACGCACAAAGCGCACATAGGATAAATAGAGGTAGCGAAAAAAAATACAGAACGAGACAGGTAAAGAGAGAGAGAGAGAGAGACGAGAGTGTGTTTCGAGTGGATCGGCAGTTGTTGTTGTTGGTGTGAAAAGAAGGGTAACTGCGGTTACAATTAACCCTACTGCCCCTCTTGACACTGCCTGCTTAGCAATCTATGTATGCACCCCCCTGAACCAAGGTATACTTAACAGAGGTGTACTATTTGATACGAAGTGTGGTACAGTACATCCTTACCTTCTATTTTATATACCTTTTCCCAACCATGCCACACTTTAGCTCTCTTTTACCTTTATCTGTGTATCTCTTAAGCGCCATCTCTCTATCCCGCTTTCTTTGTGTTCCATTTGCATAGAATTCGATTACGCGTTTTGTTTGCCTTTAATTGCAACGCTCATCCGTTTTACTTAGCAGTTTGTTGGCCACGCTTTGCCGCAGCGATTTCTCCATTTCTCCTTTTGAAATTCGCAATGAAAATCGTTCAGCGTAAAGTGCGTTTGGGTTTGATTTGAGAGACAGTACTCGCAGTGGAAGAGAGAACTGCCAGAGATTATCGGCAAGCTGCGCTGTGTGCACTCCATTCAAATTGATTCTCGAACTTTAAACTGTTTCATTGCACAAATGAACACGGAACGAGCGAACGCAAAGAGTAGGGGGAGGAACAAAGGGAACTATGCAGTGAACACTCTGAATGCGGCATTACAGACCACTGACATGGTGATCCCACACCAGGAGCTTTCACTGTTCAAACGCATTTTACACACAAGCCCAAAAGTAGGCAATGCTTAACCATGACTGTGGTTTGAGGTGCAGAGAAATAAAGTTAGAGAAGATCGAGAGTTTGTTCTTTATTTTACAGTGCTGTTGTTCAACTAACAGTTAAATTTTTCGTTATTTTACAGATAAAATAAACAAGTTTTTAAAGTTCTATTGTATAACTCAAATAAATTTTATTAGAATCTGAACAGCTTTCAGAAAATATCTTTTGTATTTACAAATATATATATATTTCTTAATATTGCCATAAACATCAAATAAATAGTTTGGTTTATTGATTTTATATGTACTTACCCTCAACACGACCTCCAAATCTCATCTCTTCTTACGTAAGACCCACACTTGACAAATATTTAATATCGAAGATGCATTTCCAGTTTTGTTGCTCGTATATGCTGATACATATGTACATATGTATCTGTATCTATCAGAAACTTGTCTAGCATGTCAACGAGAAAATTCGCATATTCAGAGAGCAGTGGCACTGACAGGGCTGAGCAGGGCAGGGCAGGGCAGAGGCACTCTGCCAAAAAAACACACAACAAAAAAACACGAAACACACAAGTGGAATGGCCAAGATCTCTGTGTAAATATGCATGCACATAGAAAATTGAAGTCTGAAGAAATCTGAGGAAATTGAGAAAAGAAATCCATGACGCAAATACTCTTATGGAAATATTGACAGACGTACGTCCGTACTTAAAACTTGATGTGCAGTGCACATTGCCTTCCATCCGTTATGGGACTTGTGTTTGTTTCAATTTCAAGTTACGGACAGACTGAAAGTGGCTCAACAAACATCAGTTGTTTTTACGAGTCTGGCACATAATGCCAAAACACTAAAATTAACAGCTGCAAAACATTTTTAAGGATTGCAGATGGCAGTAGTCCTTACCTGGGATATACGTAGATACCCTAAGGAGCTTTGGGATTGTATGAAAAGTTGAGGGGAACATTAATAATTTTGTATGCATAAGCAAGAGTGTTGATAAGTAGTGCAGCTGCTTATCAGTGTTGGAATGTGCCATTTAAAGCTGAAAACCTATCAACAGAATTATAGTAGTCTTTTTACATATTTTAATTGCTCGAAATTTAAATATCTCTTCGACTTTCAGTGTATTTCGCATTCGTTTTGCCCCACTTGAACTGTTTCAATCCTCGGTTGTGTTTCCCAACTGAAATTCGTCGGCTTTTGCCGGCTTTTGGTTTTTTTAGAGGCTGGCTTTAGCCGCGTTAACTCGACTAACTGTTTTCAGTGGCTGAAAAGGCGACATAAAGTATATTTTGATTATTTTGAGAGCCAAAAGTTGAGTATTTTAAGGCCAGTCGGCATTTGCATTTCGAATATATTTTTACGACAATCCACCCAGAAGGTCCTTTGCACATCCCGCCCGCACAGCATTCGGGGGTCCAACACCTTCCCGCAGGATCTTTCGGCGCGTTTGGTGAACGAGTGAAATGCCACAAATGGCGTGTAAACACAACAAAGAGGTAATAACAATGGCGGCCGGATGCCTGCAGAGGTCCCTGACTCCGCGAGGCTTTAGACAGAGAGACAGGAGACAGGAGACAGGGAGTTCGCTGCCACATTCCTGGAGTACCGTTGTGGGGGGTGGGGAGACCGGGATATGGCGCAGGGCAGGACCTTTCCTGCCACCCGCACTTTGGCAAACATTTTTATTTGTTTCTCCGTAAGCTGTGTCAATACACAATAAATTGAACTGTGCAAGAATTTATGTTGGCACTTTGTGAGGACGCAACATGCCGCCACCGCTACTGCCACTGCCACGGCCACCTCCAACCCGTCGCTCCCGTACTCCTTATCTAGAGGGAAGAGAATGATGCCTTGGCCCACACCCGCACACCCTGTACTGGGCGGGCGTCAATTGCATATTGGCCGCCCTCTGGGGACTTAAAAGTTCAATAATATTTATTTGTTACTTGCTCTCTGGCAACAAAGCTCGCTCGCGCGCGCACACACAAGATTATACTTTGTGCTAGGCCCCCGTTTATCACGCAACCAGAGATACCCGAACTCCCACCCCAAAGACCCACACGGAAACCCACAGACACAGACACCCTCTTACATAATGGCATATTGTCAGACAATGGCTGCGAGCAGAGCAGAGTTTGGCCGTAAATTTTGGCCCTAAAGGCGATGATTTTTCTAAAGGCACTAAGCTAATTTAGTGACCGAATGCCAAAGTGGTCAGGCCCCCGTGATTTATGGTGTCGCCCTTCCCCTTCCCGTTCCAGCGACGTTTCCAATTATCTCTTTGGCTAACTTGTAACCTTAAAGCCATCACTAAAACCAGGAACTACACGAAACAATATTATCTTATGCCATTTAATTAAGATCAACCTTTGTTTGGTTAACTTAGTGCACAATTTGCGGGCACTGGCTCACACATATGCATACTTGTGCCAATGAGTCAGTGTTGATCCCATTTAATAAGCGGACAAATTTCGATATTCATAAAGGACACACAGGGGCTGTGGCTGGGGCTGGGTCGGGGTGTCCGGGAACACATGTATTGTGTTGGCCATCCACAAATAGCATCCGAGCCATAAACAAATAAATTTCAAATCTTCTGTTAGTCCCACTTAGGCGAAATGGAAGGAAGCGCAGGCGCATACAAACAACCGGCTAAATGGTAGTGTGGGGGATACAATCTGTCTATAAGGCAGGAATGAAATGGCAAAGGGACATGGCAGGAGAAGTGAAGCAAACGACGAAACGGAACTAAATGGGAAAGACTGTTAGCAGGGGAAGGAATCACAAGCAGAAACGAAACGATAAGGGACTCGTAGCAGGGGAAAAACGAATAGGAATGAAACGGTAAGGGAATGTTAACAGGGGGAGGACCACAGCGAACGGAACGTGGAACGAACGTGGAACAAAATCAGGAGTTAAGCGGAACTACTACGTGGGATGGTTTCTGGTCCCTGACGTTGACGCTCGGTGCAAGCGTTTCAGAGGAAAATCTGCATCCTGCGCGTACGGACGTGACTCGGAGGGCAAAGGAAGCCGCTGCCACAAGACAATTTTCCGCGTTTCGAAATTGAAACGTGCCCCGAAAGCGTACTTCTAGTCTTTGTTTATCCCACAGACAAAAGGCGGAAAAAAGTGAATATACAAATAAAGAAAAAGTGCAGAGTAAAGAGCAAACAGTGCGGATGGCCATAACAGAGAAAAGGAGAAAGAATTAAGACAAAGTTTAGCCACTTGGTGTCCTCTTGGGTGTCCTGTGAGTGGAGTGTCCTGGCGTCGGCTGTTCAACGTGGAGTGTGTCGACTTTCAACTGTCGAGTGTCTTTTGTCGAAATCACTTTTAAAATTTGTTTGCTCCCGCTCCTGTTGTATTCAAATGGATATTAGAACTGAACCGAAACAAAGAGCCCCGGTGCCAGTGCCAGTGCCAGAGTCATAGTCAGAGCGCTGAGGATTTCTCCAAGGAGGCGTAACATAAAAAAAAGGGATTATTGTGCATCATTTTCGTGGACCCAAGCAAAAGAAAGTGGAAAAAAGCGTATCCTCCAACCGGATTATGCGATAAATTGTTACTGAAGTGTAAATGTTTTCTCACGTGTTAAATCGTTAAATATAAGCCTTATAAGAAATGTATGTACAAAGGAGCAACTGTTCGTGAGTCCGGCCATATGGCCATTGTAACTTATTACGAAGAAACCTTAAACTGAAAACTGAAAACTTGGGTGCAAGAAAACCCATTGAAAAGCAATGCGAAACTTGTTAAACACTATGAATGGTTCAACTTCTTGAAGAGTTTTTTTTTTTGTGTGCCAGGAAACTTTCACCCATTAGTCATTGAGAGCCTTCTCGTTGCGTGATAGTTTTGCATGGGAATTGTTCAATTTATTAACTTTTGTGCGAAAAGGAGCGTGGGAGAGATCTGAAGCTATAAGGAGAATTTTACATTATTAATTGCAAAACGATTATGAGAGTGTAAGTGGCAAAGAAGTTGCTGAATTTTGATTTATACATATTTCCTCGAGCGTCTAAGGGCCCCCGCAATATCTTTGCCCTTTATGGAGCAGACTATGAAAGGGATTCGCAGAAAGGATGTTTCATTTTAATGGAAAGCTGTTTGTTTTGCTGTGAAATTTGGGCGGATTTTAATGAAATATTAATGGCAATGTTTGTTTTTGATGCTTCAGGGTAAGCATTGAATTTGTAAAATTTAAGTAAAAGCAAAACATTTGAAATTGTATTTATTATCTGAATTTAAGGGATTATTGAACAACGGAAATTAATTGAGCAAATTCTTGGGGGATAGGTGTGAAATAAGTCAAGGAATTTTCGCAGAAGTTCTTTCGGTAGACGTTCAAATAAATATCCTTAAAAGCGCATAACACTCCGCTTTTAATGGCCAGCAATATTAAGTTTAGGATTAGTCGGGATTCACTTAGCAAATAAACAGATCTGCTGGAGAAAACCCATGGACAAATTCAAACAGAGTTTTCCATAAAACATACACTTAAATACTGATGGTTGTTTATTTATATTGATGCCACTGCAGTGCCAACAAAAGTTCACCACTCGACACAACAGAAAACACTTAAATAAATATATAAATCAAGCAACGGAGAGAACGAAACAATGAAAATGCAAGAACATTTGTGCGGAAAACGCAACGAAGAACTTGTGAAAAAGACATAAAAGAAAGTTGCAATTTCTGGCTAAAATACAAAATACAAAATAAAAATAAAATCGCATAGAATAAGAGTAAAGTGGAGCAGAAACCAAATGGAGAAATGGGGCTGGAGCCCAACCCCCCAGTGTATTAATTCAATAAACCTATTTATCTGAGACTTCGACTGGTATTTTGGGGAACGACGGAGACATAGAGATTTCGCAGAGAATGCGACAAAGTTTGCCAGCCAAGACGGCGCAGTGCAATCAGCCCAGTCTGCTAAGGAGCCGACCGAGGAGTCAGAGAAGTCCAAGGAGCCAGAGCAGCAGGAGCAGCCATAGCAGCCATAGCAGCCAGATTCGATGCCGCAAACGAGTCCCAATTGGAGGCATGCGGACAATGAGCGCACAAAAGGCGCTGTAAGTGTCATTGCAGCCAGGAACTGTGCCACTGGGAGTGCCACAGCAACCGCCGCAGCCACTGCCACTGCCACAGCCCCAGTTCGGCGAAGGACATCCACGTTGACAACTGCAGAGATGACAGTCAGGGCAGGAGATGTGGGTGGACCATCTTCAGGCCAACGTCGCCAATTTTTACGTAGCACCAGGACCCGGACAGCATCTTGGCTGGATCTCCTTCCAGCCCTTCTGGTGCTCGGCTTTGGGATGCGTAAGTACAGCTCGGGGGCACTTCTCTTTCTATCTTTCTCTCTTTGTGTGTCTGTGTGTGTGTGTGACTTTCATACATTTTTGATTTAATTTAACGCATTCATGTCGTACTCACACACACTCAAAAACACCCACAGAGAAACACCCCCCACACACTGGGATAATGGCACTCGTAAGCGGGTCCCCTAGACGCGTCATGGCTGCTGGCAAATTATTTTAGTAGTTCTGGATCAGCAGTGGGACAGAGAAAGGAATAGAGAAGCCAGTGCCTTTCTCGCTCACTTGTCCTTGACAAATGATGACAGAGGGGGAGCTGTGTCAGGTGCGTCGCTTTGGTTGGGGGGCTGGGCGCTTGAGAGGGGTTCTGAGTTTCCTTTTGTTTTATTTGATTTAGCTGAAATTAGATTACCAGAGGAAATGAGGGTCTGCAAAAATAGGAGAAACAATGGTCCTTAAATGTGATCAAATTTGTGTGTGAGAATTCTCCACGTAATCATTGGGAGATATTTTATATTGAAATTGTATTAAGCCTCATTCTACAAGCGACCCAGCCCCTCCACAGGGGAAACTGCCCAAAACTCATGTTTAAAAAAAGCTACTCTTAAAATTTTATACTGAGGGAATACTAAGGGAAGCCCCCCCCCCTAAAAACACCACCCATCTGGTTGTGCCCCTGCCTACGTGGCTTACTTTTTGTTCTGGGGTTCGAGTCTAATTTGATTTCAGAACATAATTAAGTCAACATCATTGCCCTAATGAGATGTTCATTTAATTTGCCCCTAACCATACATATCCATGATACGAGAGCGAGTACGAGAACGAGTATACACCCGCCTGAATTCCTTTTTCTGTTTTCCTTATGGATACATTTTCTGCTAAATGGCGGGGAACCTCTTGCCAAGGACTCTTCAATTAATTTCATGCTTTTGTTGCGGTTAAATGGATTTAATTGCGCAAAGAAAAATCGTTTGAAATCTTTTAAGCTGGGCTGGGAATCGACAAGGTATTACTAATTTTCAATGCTGTAAAGGAAATAATATTAATGACAGGTTAAGAAGCTTCAATTAACTTTTGGATTAGGCCTTAGGATATGTGTATTAATTCTGTGGAATGTTCAAAAACATAGTGTGAAAAACATATTGAAAACTATTTTAGGTTGTTTGTGAATTTCTAAAGAATGTTGTGGTCTTAATGTTTATGTTACCCGTAATTCAGGAATTATATAAACACCTTGCGCTCAATTCAAAATAATCTTAATATGATTTATCCCTCTTCCAAGCTCATTAGTTCAACTAAAACTTAACCCACTTGAAACCTCAAATACGTCTCACTTTCTCTTAATATTTTTATTTATTTAAATTCTACTCTACAACAAGTTTATTTGGTCCAAATTAGGCCCCAATTTTCCATACCCAAAACTCCATTTAAAATAAAGTTCCTCTTATCCTTTATCCTTTAAATCACATAAAGCAAATTGTACATATTTATGAACCTTTGTGCACACAAATCAACAGCAAAAGTTTCAAGATGCTCTTTAGACGGTTCCGCAAATTACGAGAATGAGAAATAGTTGGCAGAAGGTCCTTAACCCGGTTGGGACCCCAGATCCCAGCAGCAGCAGCAGCAGCAGGAGCAGCTGCTTTTCAACTGTTGTTTCGTGCTGGCCGATAATCATGGCAAAAATAGAACAATAAATTTCTCTTTTCTCTAGTTCTGCGTCTCCTCCCATTCGTTACTCCTGCCCTATAATTCCTGGGGGCAAAAAAAAAACATTAACGAAATTGAAAACTTGCCAAAAAATGTTTAATAAACACATTTTCAGTGGCACATCGGGTGGCAGCCGCCCTGCGGCCCATTCTCTCTAGGCAACCCTCTCCCTCTGTGCTCTTGCCTTGGAACCCCTCTCTGAAATCCCTCTCCCATCCCTTTCTTCTTTCGAAACCCCACTAAAAAAAATTCGCTTTCAAAAAGTTTGACTGCAACTCGTTATGCGAAAATACAGAATGGGGCAGCAAAGTAGATGCAACCTCTAAACCCACACACATTTACCAATCCTCATATTTTCCCTCCCCACCAAAATACTAGAAAATATAATGCAACTGGAGTTTGTCTTGCTGGTGCCTTTGTTCTGTCAAAAAATTGGTTTCTATTTCTCTTTTTCTGTTCTGTTCCTGTTTTGTTTTTTTTTTTTTTTTTGGTAATTTTGTGGGTTATTTTGCGTGTAGAGTTTTTGCGTGTGCTTTGCATTGTGCTGGCTGCTTGCTAATTTTGGGAATGTGCCGGCAAAGTTGTGCCTCAAATCAAAGCTGGCTGCAGGTTGACTTGGGGCCTGATCCTAGGCCCATCACCTGGCCAAAAATTGCCCCGAAATCCTTTAAGAGAGGAAGCTCTGGGGTCGTCATGTCGTGTCCTGTGTGCGGTCGTTGCTGTAAGGGCCAAAAGTGTTTGCTTACCTTCATAAATTATAAATGGGTTTGTGGACAGACAACAGCAACAGAGAGGTAGAGGCTTGCCCCCGGCTCACCGTAGGCAGGTGGAGTGTGTGGCACACACATTGTCAGCTCAGCCTCAGCCTCGTCCTGGGCCCGTGATGACGGAAAATATTGTAACACAAGCCAACAGGCTGGCGGCACGGGATGCTAAGGAGGGGTTGACCGACACACGACAGTGCCACAGGTCAACAAAGTATCTAACGGTGGAACAAATTGCCAGGCAACGTGTTGGCAACGCCATAAAAAGAACTGCCCATTGTGGGGTCCTAAAGTGCATGCTATGAAATTTTGAGAGTAGCGGATGAGTATTTTTTCGGTACGAAGGCGGCTGTAAGGGTTGTGCAGGCATAAAAAAAGTACTGTGTATTATTTATAAACTTGATATAGCCATTTCCGTGTGTAGGTGGAACCCGAAACTGATATATTCAAGAATCTTGAGGATGTACATTTGACGTGTAAGCCCCTGAGGTATTCCATCTCCATTACAGTCGAAATGAGGAAGGAACAGCTAATATATTATTTTCTTTCCGTTTGGAATATGTTTTTGAATCTTTTTGGTGAACAACAATTCAAAGTACATCTGTGCACAGCTACGTTATTGTATGCAGCCTTCTTCTTTTGTTTGAAGCCATGAAAACAATGAATGGTGCTGCCTCTGCCACCCACTGTGCCTTATTCGCCATGCAACTAACAATTTCCTGTCTCCAACACACACTCACACACCAGCAGTGTAAGCTGGATGGCCTTGATGCGCTTTTGGCTCGCAAAATGTGAGCTTAAATTATTCAGGGGGTCCAAAGGAGTAACCGTTCAGCAGCTGCAGCAGCAGCGAAGCGTCGACGCTTTGGGCAATCAAAGACAACAGCAACAGCAACCACAACAACGGCACAAGTATGTGTGTGTGTGTGAGGGGCATTTAATTGCTCAGACAAGAGCAGAGAATCAGAGAATCAGAGAACCAGAGGGAAGTAGATAGCAGGCGAGGAAGAGGAAGCGGCTTGGCGAGAAATGACCCACAAATGACAAAGTGCAGTGACAGTCAACGAGCCTTGTCTTCATTTCTTGTCGAAGTGTGAAAAGAACAAGACAAACACGACCAAAAAGAATGGCCAAAGCCAGGAGCTTCCTCTAGGCCAAAATGGCCTGAAAGAGGGCTTCGTCTAGGCCAAAATGTGGAAATTTATGAATCGCAGCAGGCGATGGGGTTGGGGCACAGAGAAAGCGGATCCCGGACAGACTCTGCCCCAGCAGGAGGTCCTTTGAAAAATTGTTTTGTTTTTGGTCAACGTTCGCCTACTTATTTATGGCTGCCCTGCAGCGTCCTCCCTCTCTCTATGATACCCCTCTCATCACTCTCTTTTGCCTATCTGCCTTCCTCCTCTTCCTTTTCCCCACTGCAGGACAACTCTCCCCGGCCAAATATTTAGCCCAGAGGCCATAAAAATCAACTAGATAGCCACAGCAGCCATAAGAGATATTCTAATATCTCTCTGAGATTTCGCATAATTATTTCCCTGATTTATTTGGGGAAAAAGGAGAGAGAGGAAAAGGCAGAGCAGATGGATGGAGTCCAAGCTTTAATGAAGCCAATGGAAAATTGTGGGATAGAAGACATTTATGGCATTAGATTGCACAATTTGTGGCGAAATATTTGCTATATTTCAGGTCATTATATATGTACTTTGAAATGTTTAGTAATGTTTAAGCTTATAAAATATGATAAATATAATCTGAGTTCAAACAGATATTTTCGGAAAGTTAATCGAAAATCATACAAAATATTGTGAACACTAGTCTATGCAATAACTCATCAATTATGAATATGGTATATTTTTTAAACATCAACAAGTGCCCCCTTTGCAAATAAACCCCAGAGGAGGGGGTAGCCACCACTCCTCCCCCGAAAAGAAACAATCAATCCATTTAAATTAATCAAAATGAAATATCTCAACACAATTTTTTGCCAGCTAAATTTCCCCAAAGATTTTGTGCTCCCATTGGAGCTTCCCCAGCAGAGAGTCTTTTCTAGCCTGATTCATCTTCATCACGTTGAACCTTTTGTGTCATAAATTATTTATTTTTATGCACATTGCGATGACATTTGATCACAAGTGCTTGGAATTCCCATAAATATTTGAGCACAACAAAAAAATCGAATGAGAGCGGAGAATGAGTAGAAAATTTGTATTTAAAGTGGCATTTATCAAATCGATCAATAAACAATTACCGAATGCGAATGCTCACAAAATAAATAAATATATAAATAAATAACCGCTCGCTGAGAGCAGCCATGAAATCTTATGGAATATGTATCTGTATCTGTATGCTAGGAAAACACGCATTAAAGACACATTTGCATGAGTGTGGGTGGCTTCGAGTGGGCGCTGTTGAGTGGGTGAGAGCTCTGTTATTCGAGTGGCCTGTGCGGGTGGCTGTCTGTGCGGATGGACGGTGCGAGGGGTGGGAAATGTTTAGTGGGAAATTGCTATCCCAGAATTCATTCAAAACT